GAGTGTGAACTGACAGCCCATGAATTCCACTGTAGTGATTACAAGCAGCTCGGGGGCCTGACTCTGCTAGACAAATTTATGCAGATGAAAGACTAGTTTGTGTTAATATAGACATAAATATTTTTATGAGCACTAATGGCTGCTACATACAAAATTAACGCACACGAATTTGTCTCATATTCGTGGATCTCATGACATTTTTCTGTGATATGTAACCAACCACCTCTTGGCTGTCCTCAATTAAATGTAACCTTGAATTTCCTGTCATCAAAGGCCTTCCCATTCATTTCCAAATTACGATCACTTCATCTCACAGTGCAGAGATCTTCCCTCTAGCCTTCTCTCATTGATCTGAAGCATTGTGCAGCTGGGACAGAGTGGTAACAACCACCCCACAGGATAACAGATACTTGCATTTTGCTATGAATGACTCTTGGCAGCACAAATTCAATATTCTGCAGAAGTCACACAAGGCATCTGTGCACAGGGGTCATAATTTTTATTTCTAGAACCCTGTTCATATCTTCCAATCCATGAAGAAATTGTTTCTTCAATAAATTGACCTGGTTTCTGCAGAATCTCACCTCTATGTGCAGAAAAAGGTAGTTTGCATGGTCTTCCAGGGTGTTGGAGCACACACAGGTGTGGTTGTGACTGCTGTCACGTGTAACAGGTTTGTGTAAACGAAGGATAACATCCTACAAGAAAGGAAAATGCAGCTATGGAATACAGTGAGAGTCAGAACAAGCTCCTGGTACTGCAATGAATTCATTAGAGAAGCTACAGGGGGGAAAAAAACCACCAAAACCACATGGCTTAATTATTTAACTCTTAATGCAATTCCTCCCAGTATACCAGGGCTAATAGTTTTTCACCAAGTAACTGAAACAATCTCATGAACAGCAGGTTCCCGAGGTTTTGAGTGACTACGCAAGTTTCTGAACAATTATTTTCGAATTGTAAATATCTCAAACACCTTCTCTCTTCCAGAACTCTGAAATATGCATCCAAAGCTTACAACAAAGATTAAAGAGGAACAAAGAACCCTTGTGTTTATGCATGTGATGCAGATCCTTAGCTGAACACTACACTGCATAAGGATTTGCAGAGAGAAGTCAATCAGTCTCCATAAAATGGACGTGTCTTCAAAGATCCTAATTTGAAGTTTCACTCCCCCCAGTTCCTATCCATGTACATATGTTAAAAACATCTTACTGGGCTTAGTTTCTTAAGTCAGTCTCAATTCAGCAGAACCTGATTGAAAACACAGTAAAATGTAAACTAAACCCACGATAATACAGATCCCTGATCTTCTGACAAGGCAGGGGAACAGCAACGGGGAGGAATTAGAAGTCAAGGCTCCTGCACCACATTTCCAAGCTCCCCTCTGCTTCAGCTCTTCCTCCCAACTGTTTGAACATAATAAGGCATTGGATAATGCACACACAAAGCAAGGACTCCTATGGCAGGCAAAATTTTGCACAATCTTACGTGCAAAATACACCACTCCAAAGGCTGAGATCTCCAGCTCCATTTCAGTATCTGTTATGAAAACCAAATCATATGGCAGCCACTTCCAAGTGTCTGCTCAGCTTATAAGATTTCGTTCAGGTTAAGGGGTCTCAGAGCAATTTAATAAGATGTATAACTTGCATAGTTTTAATAACTGGAAGAAAATACACAGGAGCAACTGCCTCTGTTAGTGTTCCAAAATGGGTTTGACTGAATTGCCATCTCACTGTGACACAACAGGGGACAAAAATGCCTGGGTACCCAAGAGATGCTTTGTTACAGAAAAAACCCAATCAAACTGTTCCACAGTTTCAACAGAAGGAATCCAAAGGCAGCAATGTGTCAGTAAGTGCCCAGCACTTTGCTGCTGCTGCTGTTTGTCCGAAGGAAATGCAGCACAAACACGGCAGAATTCAGTGCGAGAGCGAACGCTGGTGTTTGGGCACCTGTGAGACCCCAGAGGGACTGCACAGCCCTGGACAGATCGATTTCAGACACTCTCCAGAAGAACACTGCACCCTCCCTCTAGATCTTACAAATTAGAGCAAAAAAATATCATTTAGAGGACCTCCTAAGGCCTTCAAATACTTCGAGAAGCATCCTGAGGCAAAAAAGAATGAGCTTATTTTCAAGGTGTGCCGTGACTGTCACAGCCACTGGATGGGTTCAGCACATCCACAGAGAGAATCTAATTTGCTGTCTGATCAGCAAACAGCTGGAAAAATCGTGTAGCCGTTGAAACAGTTCCACATGGAAGAGATTTACAGAACTGTAACTTCCCAAATGATTTTGAGAGCAGCAATCTTGGATATTGAATGAGACACGAGAGAAAAAAAATTATCGTTCGGTCCTTTAAGGATTTGCTAAACCTGCACCACAAACACAGCTCCTGGACAGGTGCAGGGGTAAACAGCAGATTCAAGACAGACTTTATGGCAAATCCAATAATCTCCTAAATAACCAGTATTGCTCTAACATCTTGTCAAGTTTTTTGTTCTTGGAGGTTTCCTATCTAAGCACCAACCAGACTAATTCTCTTCAGCTTGCAAAATCGGACAAGATCACAGCCTGGAGGGGAAAGGCTGCCATGATAAATATTTCATGGGCTACATCAATAAAATTTATTTTGCCAAGGAGAATGGAAGGAGAGGAAAAGCAGAGAAATAATTCATTAAAAGAACTTCAGCTTAGCAATGCTGGGGGAAAAAAAAAAAAAAAAGCCATGCTAGGAAAAAAGGAATTAAACACAGAGGTTTTAAATAGGTCGGAAGCTTAAGTACTCTTAGCACATGGCAAAGTGACAAAGAGCTGAGCTTTTCAGAATGAGAGTACAGCAATGTGTGTACTTAAAATAATTCATCCCATTCCAAAGAAATATCCCCAGACATACCAGTAACAGTTTCAGTTTCTTGCATGTCATCCAACTTTTAAGACCTGATGAGTTCACTGAAGTGCCACTGCTCAAAACCCACTGTAGACTGCAACAAATACCTTGAGCTTTCCTTTATTTCTCAGAGCAAAACTCTTCCCCGTGTTCTACTGGATGGGGCAATGAGTTTTGTTTTCCAGAAGACAAAAAGGCAACAGCGAGAATTAAGGTACTTAAAACAAAGCTTAAACATTCTTGTACTGCAGTAACTCAGCAGATCTTAAAATTTGCATCTTACATCATAGAATTTGCAAAAAATAAATGTTTAATCTCTCCTTCCTTCCACTGTTGGAAGTAATTTGCAGTGATGAAAGAGTACATAGCACCTCAGTTTTATGACACCTTTTCCATTTACTCCCCTGCTCCATCCAATCTGGACCTCTCACAACCAGGATCAGCAGGATGGGCAAGGAAAAACAGCAAAATTGTGTTGAGGCAAACTAAACAAGACCAGGACCCAGTAATTCCCAAATTCTAATCCCAGATCTGCCAATGACTTGCTAAAGGGCTTTGAATCACTGGATTAGGGATTACTTTTTTTTTAAATGGGTAAATTAGAGAAAGACATACAAGGGACAAAGAGATGAAATGGCATTAAACCCCTTCACAGCTACTTCAGTGAGATCTGGTAACAGGTTACATATTCCAGAATTTACCTCTTCAGAAATCTTTAATTTAAAATGATTTAATAATTTTGTGGATGAAGTCACACTACTTAAACCTGGTAAAATAAAGAGATTATGAGAAAAGCTGAATTATGTTACCAACCAAAACCAAATCCTCTCTTATCAGCAGAGCTGCCATGTGACAAACTGTTTAATAACATCCAGAAGCCAAATTCTCCCAACAGCAATGTTGGGCTGCCCTCTAGTGAAGTCAGAAACCACTTCCAGCACCTGGATTTCTGAAACTCAACAGTCTCAGTCCCAGCTAGATTTTAGACAAATTTGTTTGTAACAGAAGAATCATATAGCAAGCAACTTAATAAAGTGTGCTTCTGATTTAATTTTACTCTTCCATCCTAGGGTTTTTTGTTTAGGTTTAGCACTGCAATAAGATTAAACACTGTATTCGACTTAACACCTCCACAGCATATTCTGCTTTTCTCAAGATTTGTGAATTCAAGTTCTCATCTTACAATGAATCACTTGCATATCAAAAATCCATTACATCAGAAAACACACTATTTTGCTTTTTAAAACAGCATGACAAGAATGTAACGATAGGCTCATGTATTTAAAATTTTTGACATGGTTCTAGAATTTAATTTTTCTCATGTTCAGAGTGCATTTTCTGTGATGCCACTTTCAGTGAAGGCTTAATGATTTCACTGCTGGTTACTGGGGCACCTTGGCTCTTGCTGTTATTGCCCCAAAAGTCACAGTTTATTCTCAAAGCAGGGTTTGCATTGTAGCACATTCCTAGTCAACTTTTTGTTCATGTATTTAGGAAGAAAGAAGCGGCCACTTCAGGAAGAGAGTGATCAGAGGTGCAGGATTTGGCAGCAGATGAAGAACCAGCAACACAGTCCCTGCTGAGTGACCCTGATGGCATCAGAATTTCACAAATGATTTTAAGAAAATCAAGTAATACTCGGGATTCTTTGCTTTCACAGAAAAAAATGATTGGGGTCTTCCTTAAGAATTAAAACCATGTTACATACAGTTGTTTTTGGGACAGGAAGCACAACATGGGGTGGGTTTTCTTCACCTCTTGGTTTAGGCCATCTTTAAGCTACAGCTGGCCCAGGAAGTTGGGCTGAACTTCAACACCTGCATCACCAGGGTTGAGGGTTAATGTGCTCCTCCAGGACAGCAAAAGGCTGTTTCCAACCCAGCCTCAAATGAACCAGGCTGATGGAAAAGCTCATGAGAAAAGCATGAGGAGCAAAGGCCAGTTTACACAAAACTAATGCTTTCTCCTTCAGCATTAGAGTATTTCACAAGCCCATAACAACTAAAGACACTGAAGCATTTCTGCAAATCACCAGCTTGGGTGCCAAGCAATAAAATCTTAGTTGTGAGCATAACAAAAAGCACTGGAAAAAGTTGAAACGAGGTTTCCTGGCAACTTAATAGGTATCTTTATTAAAAAACCCCAACATTCAAAAATACAGATGTTCTATTAGTATTTTGCAGCTTCCATATAAATAAGACTTGTTTGATTTTGTCAGCATACTCGTATCTGCAGGTTACAACACCTGGGGAAAGACCAGCACGGAGAATTTTGTTAATATTTTCCAAACACTGAGCCATCACAAAATTCTATGCAAGCTTAACATGCAGCAGTCAGACCTGCTTCCAGTCTGAACAAGTTCAGCTTCCCCTCATTAACACATTTCTTGTCAAACACAACTACTGTATTACTGCCAAGGCTACAGGTCTTTCCAGTTTCCCAAGAAGACGTTTAAGTGTTCAATAAAATCATATCTGCACACAAACTGTGTGCTTCAAACTTCTGTCATGTTTGTAATCTGAATTTGAAGTGATGCAGACTCCTGTGGGCTCACTTACACGACTCCATAACAGGATCAAGCCAAACATCTGTCAGTTCAACAACACTGCTGAGATTGATTAAAATATAATCAATTACACTATCAATTAACTTCTGCTCAGTCCTGTTGACAGCAGTTTTTAGTTGAACCATCAACTTGCTCTAAGAGTATTATTAGAAGAGCTGGGATTGACAAGGCAAGCCCTACTCCAGCCCATCCTTCTACATGAGTGATCCAGACCAGTTTCAGATCGGGCAGTGCTACGAATTTCTTCCTGCCATCTATAAAGAGGTGGAGGTAGCAAAATGAAAATAAGGTTCATCAAGTCAATGTTGTCAACAGTTCACCTCAGCTACTGGTCCATTTTCTCCTGTATCTTCTTTTAAAAAGATGAATAATGCTTCAGCCTAAAGAAAAAAAAAATTGAGACAGATTTAAAATTTCTCAGTAATCTGTTGAGTGAACAAGAAAAAGAAATAACTCTTCAGTAGTGTCACTAAGTATTCTTAGCCTGAAACACAGGTGTAGTTAAAGGTAGCAACCATTCACATGCTAGAGTTACTTGAAGTGCCTTTATAATATGCAGTTCAAGTAAAGGACAAATGGATTTATTTCCATTTTTGGACTTATTTAGGAGTCTTTCTGTGAGTTCTCCCTGTCAAAACCTCCTCCTAAAAAGTTTTTCAAGTATCACGAAGTTGTGAGTTTAAAAAAAGAAATATTCCTGCTTGGAGTTATCACTGCTCCTGACCACACCAGCAGGGGGGGAAAAAATGCCAATGACAGCTTTGACAGGGCCATCTGCAACAACGTGTATTTCACAATCAGACAATAAACAAGGCTCATTCTCCAGAAGGGAAAACCAGCTCCACACTCCATGAACTCATCGGGTGAAATTCCTATCACAAAGTCAAACCTTATCACTCACCAGTCATCTGCCCCACCTCACAGAACATAAACGTGTTACCTGGGATTAATGAGAGCAACTTAGCACCTACCTAAATAACAAGGCTTTGCCTTTGTTATTTGCCACAGAGAAATAGCCACTTCTGGGAGAGAAGTCCATAGACTGAGCAAGATAAATCTGTTTTCTTCTGAACACCGGGAAGTTTGAGAACACGGTATATGAAGGAATGTGCACCTATTGAGAAATAGGTCAGAAGCTACAATGAGGAAAAAGCCACCAAAAATAAAACTGAAGTACAAATTTGAAATTGAAGGTCAATGTTAAGCTCAAATGTTTAGTTCTACTCCTACCCTACATGAGTCTATACATAGAACTCTACTGGAGAAAAGAGGCAGGGAACACATTATGAAGCCAGTTATTGCAATTCTTTTCTTTCTAAGCAATTACATGTAAGCAATAAAAACAGGCCTCCAAACCCTCAGATTATTTCAATAGTTCCACTGCTGGCCAGAATTCTGACATGGCTGGTAAAATTTTGAATGAGCTAGGAAAAAAAAAACCCCACAGTGAGATGGTTACAGTTACCAGCTGCTGGAAATTCACATTTGTTGCTGAGTTGTATTTACAGAACTGAAACAGAATCACAGAACGGTTTGGGTTGGAAGGAACCTTAGAGTTCATCTGGTTCCAACTGAGCAGGGACACCTTCCACTTGACCAGGCTGCTCAGAGGCCCCATCCAGCCTGGCTTTGAACAGTTCCTGGCATTTTAAAGGGCATTTTAAAAATGGAAAAAGGAAAATTAGACCGTAAGATGTTATTTTCAGAACAACTACACTAAAGAAAATAAACTTATATCCTTATAAATCTCTATTATCTTGTACATGTCCTGACCTGGTTGGTCCAGCACATTTTACAGTACTTATATTTGCTTAATATGAGTTTTATTATGTCACCAGCAATATTTTATTAAGATTAAAAAAACGCTTGCAATAAATGAAGCTGAACATACCAATTTCACAGCCTCATCAGCATCACGGGAAGCCACTGCCAAAATTTCCGTGGTGGGGTTGAAGGTCACACAGGTGGCAGAAGTAACAAGGTTCATTACGGCTTTAACTGGCTTAGGACGGTGTTCCTTGAGGCAGACATCAGTGGTGTATAAATTTACAACCCCTGAAGATGAACTAAAGAAAGAAACAACAAAGATTACATGAAAAAGTAACGTTTCAGTGCATGTTACCTCGTTATCTCTAGCCACCATGCACCTCAAAATGCAATTTACAATTCTTTACTGAACTTTGTAATAGTATTTGGTTTGGAGCTTGATTTTCCTTTGGACTTTATAACAGTATTTAGTGGAGGGGTTTAGGATTTTGTTGGTTTGAGGACGTTTTTTTACTTGCATATGAAGAGACCCACTTAACTGTGGAGAGCCTTGATGAGGTCATCTCTTACCAGAATGAATTCAAAGCAATAACAGCTTGGTAACAAAACATTCTGAAATAATTTCAAGCTTTCAGTTGTGGGGTTTTTTTATACCTGTAGAATAAGTTCACTTACAAATCCTCTTCTAGAGTGGGCTAAGGAAATATGTACTGTTCTTCAGTATTTATGTGGTAGTTTCATTTAAAAGAATCAATAAACTGGCTGAAGTTGCAGCTCATTAAATATACTCAGAGAAACACTTTCAGCTTGTGGCTTTCAGCTGAGGCACCTTTTCAAAGTCTAATGTGCTATCCCTGCAGGAGCCAAATTCAGAGGAGAGGAAAGAAAACTAGAAAAGGGGGAAGACCCTGAATCAACATCCATATTGCAGAATTTGTGATTTCAAAATAAACTGAACCCATACGTGGCAACAGTAAAACAGGAGCAGTGATGCTGGTGTGAGGTGTACCATGGCATTTTATATTTATACAGAAAAAATTAAATTATCATCATAAAACAGGCAATATTCATCTACTCAGATCTACTCTAAGCTTATCAGAACCATGTTCCTACACTCACCAGCCACCAATAAGTTCACTGAAGAGCTTCAAAATGAGATCAGAAGAACCTGCCAAACACCAGTCAGTCACTTACCCACATGCCACATACTGGTTGTTTTTTGAAAGAGCAATGCACGTTCCTTCCAAAGAACCTTCATCTTCAAATTTGTGTAGACACTTCCTGCTTCTCACATCCCAAATGAAAACTTCACCTTCCTCTGGTTGCAGAAACAAGTAGATTATAGAAACCATATACACACAAGACTGCCTATTTTGTTAAGATACATTTCATTAGATGACAACTAATAGCTCATTTAAACTGTCAAATGTATCACCATTATCACATTTTTAAAAAACAAAACAACTAAAGGCATACTAGAATAGTTAACTCCATTCTTTCATTATTTATCTTTTGGTTGTATTTTCAGGTCAGATACTGACACAGTTTTTAAACAATCTTTGTAAAACACTAAGTGACTTCTAGAAACTTATGCAATTTGAAGGGAATTAGGATTAGTGCTGTTGGAATACTCACTTGAATAGCTGTATATTTTACTGCTGTCTGGAGTGAAAGCAGATGCAGTGCACCTTCCATTTACCTTCATAGTGCTGATCAGTTCCTTTGTCTGTAGGATGAAGAACAATGGTGACAGTGATCCTACCAAAAATCTGTAGGAAAGTGGTTTCCTGTCCCACAAAAATCTTTATTTAGCTACCTTGGCATTCAAAGAACAAGCTCCTGAGTCCAACAACAGCTGGTCCAACAAACACTCATTTGCTCCCTCACTGAAGGGTCTGAGTTATACAACAGAACTGAACTTTCTTCTTCAAACTCTTCCCTTGTAAGAGTTTAAAACAAACCCAGCTGCCATCATATGGCATTTTAAAATTCAACTGCAGAAATTCACTGTGCGTTATGAATCACAGTATCTGGCATGATTCATGAACACAGTGCAGCAGCAAGCACTAGCACGATTCCCAAAAAAGCAGTCCCATCTCTCTCCCACCCCCAGATGCCTGTCTCCATGCTGAGGCCATGCCTTTTGCCAGCACAAAGCTGAAGTTCAACACTGACACAAGACTTTTTCCCAACTCTGCCCTGAGCCCCAGCGGCCCCAAAGAGCTGCAGAGCAGAACGAATTCTCAGGCACCCCAAAATAATTCTCTAAAGCTGCAGTGAGTTGAGTCAGCAGCACATTTTTGAAGGCTGTCACAGTATGCGTCATGCCTTTGTTTCAACTGAAAGCTAGATTGCTTTGCAGATGGAATAGGGAAAGGGAAAAATACCAAGAAAGTGAAGCTACATGAACCATGAGGAGAAATTACCTTCATCGACAGCAAGTGAAGGTAACCCGAGGTTCCAATTAGCAGCATAAGTGATCCATCTGGAGAAAGCTCGAAGTTTCTGAGAAATCTTTCCTCCACACCTTTAAAAAGAGATTCAAAACTTGAAATAGGCATAATTTATTCTTTTGCCTCAACAGTCAGAGGTGTGATGAATATGAGTAGGGCCTGACTCCACTTCAGCTTTTCACTGCTGTAATTTGCTGTCACAGCAGAGCTAAACTCAACTTGGCTTGTGTGTGACAATTAATGTTTAATATCCCAGAAAAACTAAAACTAAAGGAACTTGTTCCCTGAAGACAAGTTAAAAACATGACCTCCAACAATTCACTGCACTTCCTTCTAAAGCAAATTCATGTGCCATCTCTATTTGGGAAGAGTTTCAACTACACCCAGGCACTTACAGTACTGTAAAACCTACCTCGTACTTTGGGTATGGGGATAATATTTCCAGCCATCATGTCATACACGAAGAACATGCTGTGGTGAGTACCAGTGGCTATAACTTGTTCTCCATCAACACTGAAACGAGCCTTGTAAATTGGAAAACTCTCCAAATAGATGCTCTGTATTTTTGGATTCCTTATACCATCCACCTTCAAAAAAGCAAATAATGAACCAGGTTATCATATTGAAGAACATGCCAAATATTTTTAAATAGAAAAAAACATATCAAGCAGCCAGTACAAGTAAGAGGTAAACCACCTTGAAGCATTAAACTCTTCCTCTCTTCCACAAATAACCTGTCCCTTGGCTCCTCACAACAGGCACTCCCAGCCTTCCTGGATGCACTTCACACCTCTTGCCCTTCCCTGTCTTGCCCATGTTCAAATCATCACTACTGTTGTGCTTTTTCTAAATGGAAACATTTGCTTTGAATTGTTCTTCTTTTCTTTTTCCTGCAGCCTTGTGGGACTATCAAATTCCACTTGTGCCTGACCATTTCACTGATACTTGGCCATGATGAAAGTTGCTAAAGAGAGTTATGATCTGAGATTTCAGAGGAGCAGGGCAGTGTCCCAGGATGAGCCCCCTTCCTGCTGCAGTCCAGCCTCTCCATTCCCAGCATGATTCCACAGCAATATTAAGAGTTTTAAATGCAAGTGGACTGCTCCCTACACTACAGGTTTAAGAACAGAAAACCTCATTAGTCCAAATCACTGCAAACCTTAAACCCAAATGTTTTTGAGAAACAAATCTTCAACTAAAAACTCTAATACAACTCAGTTTGCCTGTACTCTGTACATGTTTGATAAGCAGTCACAGAAGGAAATGTCTTCCAAGGTGCCTTTAACCAAAGGATTTCCATTTTAACCACAGACAAGAGGAAGAGGAAAAACAAAGTCTGTCAGTCCAGCCTATTTCAGATACACTCATTAAAAAAAAAAAGGGTTCTGTACTAGTGCCCATTTGCACAGAATAGGCTGGAATTCTTCACCTGGAAGAGTGACACAGACCGATCATGTCCTGCAGTCATGACCACTTGAGCTGAAGGATGGAACTGCACCGTCACCAGTTTTCCATTGGCAAAGCGTTCCTGGTTTGCAGGCAGGCAGGTGCTCATCTACAACACAGATCAAACAGGTTAAAAAATCCCCAAACACTTACGCTGATAAAAAGCTCCCAATTCAATTAAAATCCCAAATTAAAGTTTAAATCCTAAATTAAAATCCTGTTATGAGATGCTACTTCAGGGTACATAAAAGTAATACTTCAAAAAATACACCTCAATTTACTGCTTCATGCTTTCACGTGAAATATTCAATTTGTCCAACACCTACCACTAAGAGCTTCTAGTTACAGAAACAAGAAATTCACATTATCACTGATTTTACACAGCAACAACCATCAAAATGGGGATCAAAGTGGAAAGATAAGGCTTATCTTTACCTTCAAAATTCCTCTTGGCAGGGACTCTGAGCTCGATATGAAATTGCCTGTCCTGCGTAGCAGATCATCATCTTCATCACTCTCACCTCATGAAACCAAAGCACGTGAACAGTCAATTGCAAAAATATCCACAGCAAAACCTACAAATTCCTTACCAAAACAATTTCAATCAAAGCACACCAAAGGAAGGAATAAAAGGTGACTTATCCAGCATAGTATTACACTACTGAAACTGAGAAAACATCAGAAATAATCATTTTCTTAAGAAGCTGATCAAAGAATCACAGAAACACTTATCAAAATAGGAATGGAATTATTTACTATCGCTTGAAGTCCTTTTGGATTTCTTCCTGTTTTCTAGATTAGCCCAGGCAGGAACTCCTCCCATGGCTTGCTGAAACCTTGCAAGAGAAGGGGAAGAGAGAAAAAAATAACTCTTGTGAGAAAGTAATTTCCCTCTATGAGTTAAGTAATTAGAAGATACACCATCACAATTTCACAGGAACAGTTGTGTTTAGAACACTATGCAAGTTTTTTTAGATTTTTTTAAGATTTCACAGTTTCTGGCATAACTCCCCAGGAAAAACAAATTAATTTCTGCAGTTTGACTAAAACAGGTATTAAACAAATTAGTCCAGACAATGCTAATGCACATTTACATAAATGTCACACAAATGTACTTTATTTCACAGAATCCCAGAATAGTTTGGGTTTGAAGGGACCGCTGGAGATCATCCAGTCCAACCCCCTGTCAGGACAGGGTCACCTGGAGCAGGTGACACAGGAATGCATCCAGGTGGGTTTGGAATGTCTCCAGAGGGGGAGACTCCACACCCTCCCTGGGCAGCTGTTCCAGTGCTCTGCCACCTTCCATGGAAACAAGATCTTCCTCATGTTGAGATGGAACTTCTTCTGTTTTAGTTTATGGCCATTGCTTCTTGTCCTGTCACTGAGCACCACTGGAGAGTCTGGCACCATACTCTGACACCCACCTTGGAGATATTTATCTGCATTCATGAGATCAGTGATTTCACCTCAATAAAGTCAACCACAAAAACATTAAAGAAACTCACTGTTCCTCAAGTCTTCTTTTCAGTTTTTTCTTAGTAAGTGTCTTCTCAGCATCGCTTTTCATGAAATCCTTCCTGTATTTATGGGTCATGTCAACACTAGAAGGGGGGAAACACAGAGAACACGAAGATCATTCAAATCAAAGCCAGTTACAGTCAAGTTCCCAAGTTTGATACGCAGCTTCCACTGGCAAACCCGAACTCACTTTTCCTCGGCTTCATCATCCTCATCCACCCAGGCCGGCTGTTTGGGCAACAAGTCGCCTTTCGCTTCATTTTCTACCTCTGAGTCGCTGGAGTCTGCTTGGAGACTTTTCCCCTCCGTGGCAGCAACCTGAAAACAACCGAACGGGGCCGAGTGAGCCCGGGCAGGAGGGCAGGGAGGGGGCACTGACTCGCCCCGGGTCGGGGCAGGGCCGGGCCGTACCCTCGGGGGCCCGCCCAGGCGCCGCAGCAGCTCGTCCTCCTCCACTCTGAGGCTGTCGCCGAACACCAGCTCCTCCAGCTCCCGCTCGGCGCCCGCCGCGCCGCTCACAGCCCTCAGGTGCCGGGCGCGCCGCTCCGCCTCCGCCTCCTCCTCCGCCCGCTTCGGAGCCTTCGCTTTCGCCATTTTCGGCGCCTCGCCCGCTCGAGGCGGCTTCCTCGCTTTTTTCGCCGCCTTTATTTCGGGCGTTTTCTTCATTCTCGTGCCCCTCCGCTCCGTCCGCGCCGCCGGTCCCCGCATCGCTCCCCACACCCGGAACCGGAACACGTGTGCTCCCGTCACGTGCCTCCCGCGTGGCCCCGCCCCCCGCCCGCGATAGGCTGATCCGCTGCCCCGCCCATCTACGTATGCAAGCACCGCCCCTTCCCCCGCGAGCCGCGGTCACGTGACCTCCTTTCTTTGCCTTCCATTCCCCTCTCACCCCCCCGCCCACCCCGCGCTCCACGTGACGCGGCCGCGGCCGGGCCGCTCCATTGCGCGCCCGCGGGGGGGGGGGACGAAAATTCCCCAACGCACAACACCCCCCCAAGCACACGCTCTTCAGCGAGCTCTCGCTGACCTCGCCAAGCCATCCCCTCGCCCGCTTTCCTCCCCACCAGCGGGCGCTACCGCTCTTAACGCCCCACCTCGCCCCCTATGTTGCGAATGGTTCTGCCCGCAGGGAAGCCGGGGGAGGGGGGCACGGCCCTGGTCCCGCCCCTCGCTGCCCGAGCCCGTGGGGGGGGCGTGTCCGCGCCTGCGCAGCCGCGCGCTCGTGTTGTTGATGTCCCGGCGGCCGCCGCCGGTCCCGGTCGGTCCGCGGCGCTCGGAGCGGCCGAACCGCCCGGGCCGCCCCCGCCCCGCCCAGCCCCGCCGGGCACGGCCCCCGCCGCGGGCCGCCCCAGCCGCACCGCCCCCGCGGGGGGCAGCGGGCACGGCCAGCGGGCGGCTCCTGCCCGTGAGGGCCTGATGGAAAGCACAAAGGAGCTGCTGGTGAGTGCGGCGGGAGCGGCCCCCGCGGGACCCCCCGCGCCTGAGGGAGGCTGAGGGGGGAGCGGCCTGAGGGGGAGTGATCCCCGCTGTTCGCGCTGAGGGGGCGGCCCCGCGGGGCGGGGGAGGGAGCCGGGGGCTGCTCGGGGGCGGCCCCCGGGGCCGGGGGGATGTGCCCGCCCCGGAGCTCCCCGGGGCGCTGCTCGGGGCCGGCAGCCCCGGGCGGAGGGTCCCGGGGGGCAGCGGGAGGGCCTGGCCGGGGCACGTGGGGGCGGCTCGGCGAGACCCCTTTGTTGTGGCCGGGTTTTTGTCCTTTCCCCCTCCTCTCCCTCCTCCTGCCGCGGAGAAAAGTTCCAGCCCTCTCCTGCTCCGCAACTTCCTCGGGTGCTCCCAGCCTAATTGAGAGTTTAGTTTTCCAGGCTCGTTTTAAACGCTGTGCACTTTTCTTTAATATCAGCGCTTCAAAAGTTTTGGATTCTTTGTAGCCACTTCCTCGCTCCCTGCGATTTTTATGACCGCTGATGCTGTGACTTTGTTCCCTTTGTGAGCAGCAGTAAACCCGTGAAACCAGTTTCGCTTTCAGGCTGTTGCTGGAAATGTTTTAAATGTTTAAAATTTAGCAATTTCTCAGTTTCTGCCCAAGCGTGGCTTTAAAATTTAAAAGTCCTACTGCAAAAAGTGTGCTGATAGTGCTAAAAATTCCTGTGCGTGAAAAAGTAATTTGTTTTAAAATAGCTATTAAAATGTGAGGGGCAGCTGTTGTGATTTTTCACATCTAACCCCAGTTAAAACTAAAAGCTGCAGGGCAAGCTCCTGTGTTTTAAATTAAAATTATTTTACAAGTTGGAGAATCTGCATTTACTTTTTTTTTGTATTTAACAGTTTGATTTTGACTTGTAAGGAATGGAATAAAAGCGCTATGAGAGAGTCTAATCTGGAACATTAAATGGGGGAACTAAAGCAATATATTCCTTTTATGGCCTTTAGAAAGGCAATAAAATTTGATAGATTAATTGCCTTTATTCATTACCTCTGTTTAGGGATAGTTTTGAGGAAGAGTGGCGTGCAGGCTGTAGGGAACCATGCAGAGGTATATCCTCTCCTGTGTGGAAGTTACTCTTTATGCCACAGGAGCAGTTTAGGAGTTGTTCTTGAGAAGATGTGTGGGCTTGTGCACGTGCAGAAGGATTTCAGGCTGGAAGTCAGAATTCTCTTCATTGCTCCCCAAAGAGCGAGGTGCCTCTGGCGGATTGAAAAGCAGAACAGGAGCTCCCTCTCATTGGCTTTTCTTTCTCTTACCTTCTAAAATTTGATTTAATTCTGCAAGGCTTTTGGTACCTTCTGCAAAACCTCTACTGCGTTCCTGCACTTCCCAGGTAAGTGGGTACACCCTGGGCATGGGGGATCGTTTGCTCAGTCTGGCTCTGAGCACGTCCAATGAACTCAGGTGTTGAAGACTTTGTTTTTTGGGTTGGTGGTGGGGTTTTTTTGGGGGAGTTACATTTAAATTAGTTGTTTTGTTTGTTGTTCTGTTTTTTAATGGTAACACGGTGTTTAAAGTGAAGTATTTGCCTCTTCCAGATATTCCTGTAAGGGTTTTGTAGAAACATAATGGAGTTTGTAACAGATTTTCAGTTTTCTCAAAACTCAGATATTTCACATATTAATCATCACACCCCCCTCCAAAATCCCCTGCTAATTTGATATATTTTTTTATGAAAGAGTCTCCCCTCTTGTGTGAAACCCCCTGGGGAAGAGGCTATGGACAAAACCATTGGCAAACAGCAGAAACTGGCTTCAGACAAAATGCTGTCATACATAGCAAATGAAGAGACAGGAAAAAACATTTCTGTAATTTTCCAGCAGAGATTTTACTTATAATAAGAGTGGAAGGCACATTTCCAGATAGAGGTGAGTTGCTTATATAAAAAAAGTAAGTTTGGTTGGTTCTGATTTCCAGGAATCCCAAGATGTTTAGCTTTGGGGGTTTTGGTTTGTTTGTTTTTAATGAAAGCTGAAAGTGTGTTTTCTTTAAATTGGTACCATGTTTGAATTTTCTTTTTTTGTCATGTTCTGAGGCACAATTAGGCTTCAGTTCCACAGGGACAAGCTGGGATTCTACTGTTAATTATTTTGGCCAGCTTATTTCCAGAAGAGTTGTAATAAATTAGTTCCATCGTCTCGTTTCTTTAATGCCAACATCCAAAACTGAGCTTGTAGCATAAAACATCAATGGACTTTTGAAAACAAAAGCTGTGCATCAGTTTTAAGGCTAACTTGGAAATACATTTGGATCTGTTAAGGATATATGATTGAAGGGAATCTGTCTTATCACAGCCCCTTGGCTTGAAGGTTGTGGTGACCTCAGTGCTGACCTTGGCCTCAGATTGTCCATACTTCTGTCATGTTTTGGGGCTTTGGAGCTGAAATACAGGCAGTGATCCCTCTGTTTAGGTGCTGCTGGGCCTTTATTAACCTACAGCTCTTGTACTCGGAGCTCCAAATTGCTGCCATTCTGAATTGGTGCCCCAGATTGGTACAATAGTAACAACAACCACGTGGAGTGGTGTGAAACCTTCTGTGGCTGTTTGGGATCCTCCTCCCATGGCCAGGTACACTTACCTGGGGGCAAGAGGTTTGGTTACATAATAACTGGGTATTTTTGTTGCAAGTTTTCCCCCTCAAAATGCTTTCTCATAAATTTTGACGATAATTGGGCAAATAGTCTTCATCAAGTCATTAAAGCCATTTCCTGAGTAAGTGTTTGATGTCTAATTAACATTAAATAGTTGTATTTTGTGTTTTGGCCATGCATTGTTTACCCTTTGTGACCAGTTTTTTATGCTGTAAGAGTAGTTATTATACTCAAAGAACATATACTGTAATGTGCTGATCAGATTTAATGTGTGTGTGTATATATATGTGTAAAGAGTATGTGCTAAGAGTGAGAAACTAGTTATTTTCATTTTTGTTTAGAGTTGCCTTCCTGCTTTTAGGGAAACCGGTTTCCTTAACTATATTCTTTTATCATACCATTTGCCTTATGTAATGGTTAATTAAGAGTATTTCTTAAAAATACTCTGTTGCCAAGTATTCACAGGGAGGAGAGGAAGAACAGGAAAATGGGAAGTTGGGCAGAATAAGAAAGCAGTTCTTGAGAGCTCCTTTCTCCACCCCTCCCTTCAATAAAGAAAAGAATGCAAGAAACCCCCCGAGCAAATAGTGCTGCTCACCCTGGATTTGGTGTTGCTCTGACTGAAACCCTTCCCTGTTGAGGAGCCAGTAATCTTATTAGGAAAATCAGCCTTAGCCAGGGTGCTTCAAAGTTTGGCTTGTTCTTTTCTTTGTGCCTTGCTTCTGCTTAATGTACAGCTCGACTCTGCTAGTGGTGGAGTTTCTGCAGCTACTCCTCTTTTGGCATTAACCCGCCACAAGGCTCTGCTTTATAGCAAGCCAAGCTCCTGCTCCAAGCAGTTCCTGTGGATAGGCAGGAAAATGTTCCCTCATTTGTTCAAAGGTGAACAACACTGACCCGACTCTGTTTTGAGGAGAAGAAACCTCTCCAAATCCTGATTTTTAGTCCCAAGTCCAGTTTTGAAGAGTAGAAAACTGGCTTGTTGTTGATTTTTTGGGTGGTTTTTGTTTGCATACCTGTGTTTTGAAGCTGCAGCTGCCGTGGTGAGGTGCTGCTTCAGACAGAGAAGAACTCAGCCAGAGTTACTTGTCCTTCATGTGCCTAGAAATGACTTCCAGCATTGCCTGTTCCATCATCTTCCAAGCACTGAGATGAGGCCCCTTGGCCTGTCGTTTCCTGGGTCCTCCTTTTGCCCTTTTTGAAGATAGGAGGGATAACAGAGCAAAGGAACAGAGAGTGTCTACATGAGATAGATGGTTCTAAGTTCTTGATATCTGCTGAAGTTCACCACAGTATATTTAGAGACCACCAGCACTTGAGGAACTGTCATCAGGAATGGGCAAATTTTGTACTTAATATTCAAAAGAGAAAGATGGAACCAACCAACAAGAACTCAGCAGGAATCTTGGTTATAATTCTGCTTGAGGCATAAATTGTCTTTTTTTTTTTTTTTTTAATTTTTTTTTTTTTTAAGGATGTGGTTTTGACCTGTGGATTCAGAGCTATACCCCAACTCTTTTAAGTTTCAGGTGTCAGAGCTCCTATTCTTTTACGGGCTCCATGCCAGTTCTGCAGGAAGGGTTATAGAACCTTCCACATCTTGTTCACTTATTTCTACAAATGCTGTGTTTCAACATGGGTTAAAAAAGAATCTTGGTG